TTCGAGACCAGCCTGGGCTATATAGTGAGTTCCAGGTCAGTCTCAACTGCATAGTGAAACCCTGTCTCAAAAAACAAGCAAACAAACAAAAAACCCCAAACAAAACAAAACAAAGCAAAACAAATCCCAACAGTGTGTAACTTGCATAAAATAGAAAGACCTGTGAAGCAGAACAAAGAGACATACATGGAGAAATAAACCTATTCAGGCTGGGGATTTAGCTCAATGGTTCTGCCACCTGCCTTGCAAGCACTAGGTCCCAAATTTGATTCCTGGTACCAAAAGAAAGTAAGAAAGAAAGAAAGAAAGAAAGAAAGAAAGAAAGAAACCTATGCATATAGTCAATTAATTTTTGACAAGGACACCAAGAAAATAAAATGAGGAGAAAACAGTGTCTTTAATAAAGATGTTGGGGAAATAGGATATCCACATTCCAAAGACCCTTATACTATTTACAAATATCAACTGCAAATGGATAACATCTTAAAGTACAAGACTTGAAACCGTAAAATTTGTAGACAAAAACACAGGAAAAAAAAAATACTCCTTGACGTCAGTTGGCTGAGGCAGGAGGATCACATGTGAGTTTGAGCTCAAGGCAAGCCTGGGCTACATAGTGAGTTCAGGGCCAGCCTGAAATACATAGCAAAGGGAGATCCTATCTCAAAAGGCAAACAAACAAGTGTTGGCGTGAATGAATCTTCATACTCTACTGAGAGGAGTGTGAATTAGCACTGCCATCATAGAAAATAGCGTAGCAGTATATAGGTTCCTCAAAAAATTAAAACAAGAACTGTCATACTACTTGGGTATCTACCCAGAGGAATTTAATTTAATTTTTTTTTTTTTTTGTACCAGGGATTGAATTCAGATCTTTGTGCTTGGGCAGCACCACTGAGCTAAATCCCTGGTCCATGTAAAGGAATTTAAATAAAGCTCTCAAAGAGATAACTGCATTCATTCATTTGTTTATTCATTTATTTATTTGAGGCAGGATCTTGCTATGCAGTTCGAGGTGATTCCTGCTTCAGCCTCCCAAGTGCTCAGATTACAGATTCCCTTATTTATTGCAGCTTTATTCACAATAACCAAGTTAGGGAAACAGACTAAATGTCTTTTGACAGATGGATGGGTAAAGAAATTGTGTCATATTCACAGTATGAAATATAATTCAGCTTTTTTTTTTTTTTTTTTTGGTAGCAAGGACTGAACTTGGGACCTTGAGCTTGCAATACAGGCAGCAGAAACATTTTTGTTTTGTTTTGAGACAGGGTCTCACTATGCAGTCCAGGCTGGCCTTGAAGTCACAGCAATTCCTCAGCCTTAGCTTCTGGAGTCCTGGGATTAAAGGTGTATGCTACTACTCTGGCAATTCAGCTTTTAAAAAGAAGAAAAATCTTGCCATTTGAGACAATGTAGAAGGACCTGGACTGCATTACATCAAGTGAAATATATCACACACAGAATGACAAACTATGAGTTTGCCGAAATCCTACATCTAAAATAATCAAGATGCTGGTTTCCAGGGGCTGGGGGGAGGGAGAACTGAGGATTTGTTAAAGGGTGTGAAGGTTAAAGGGTGTGAAGTTCCAGTTATTCAATATGTAGTATTGTAGAGCTATGCAACATGGTGCCTGTAGCTAATAATATGGTATCAAATACTTCAGATTGCTTAGAGGGTTGATTTTATGGTTAGTGTTTTTACCAAACAAACAAAAAGAAACAAAAAAACTTACAGTAATAGAGGTCGAGAGGAACTTTTGGGGGTGATGGATATATTTATGGCTTGGTGGTGGTGAAAGCTTCACAGGTGTATACCTCCGTAAAGTAGTTTTTAAAATTTTGCCTGTGTATAGTATATTTTAAAAATTCTACTTTGAATATTTTTTCCTGATTTAGATAACTAACCAACAATTTTCTATCTAGAAAAACCATTCTTTTTTGTATATTGCTTTATTGTGAAATATTATTGTAATTTAAAAATAGCTATTAATGATTTTTCTTTTGTACAACATCATTTGAAACATTTTCAATTATTATATTTATTTCATTTCCATAGGAAGAGAGATGATTCAATTACAATAGTAAAAAATAGGCTTCTTGGCGGCTGTAGCACCTAGGTGAACCCTGCAGAACAGTGGCATGTAGGTGGGAGGAAGAAATGGGTCATAGAGGTGCCTCAGCTCGGGCTGTCCTACTCCCCACCGACGGAACTGACAGAGTGACTTACACATTACAGCATAGGAAAATTCACACAACACCAGGCATGGTGGCTCATACCTGTACTTGCAGCTACTGGGGAGAGTGAGGTGGGAGGATCCAACACCCTGACTAAAAAAAAAAATGTATTTTTTAAAATTAATTTTATTGGTACATTTTAGATATGCATAATGATAACATTCATCATAGGGAATTGGTACGTGTACATGACATATCTTGATTCTTTTTTTCCCCATTCCCTCCCCTCCCTTCAACCCCTCTTCCCCTCCTTATTTACAAAAGCTTTGTTTCCATTTTTTTCTTCTACTCTTTTAAAAAATGTATTGGTATATTTCATATATGTGTGTGTACACACACACACACCTATATAATGATAACATTCATTAAGCACTGTGGAAATCAGTGAGGACATTCCTCAAAAAACTAAAACTGGAGGTTCCATGTGATCCAGCTACTCCCCTCCTTGGCATCTTCATAAAAGAATTAAAAGCATCCTACCACAGCGATGTATGCACACCCATGTTTATAGTGCTACTGCTTGTAACAGCTAAACCATGGGAAAAGCCCAGATGCTCATCAATGGTGAATGGATAAAGATGTGTTTAAAAAAAAAATACAACGAAGTACTACTCTGCCTTAAAGAAGGATAAACTTGAGGCATTTCTAGCTAAATGGATGCACCTTGAGACCATACACTTAAGTGAAATAAATTGGCTCACATGTTTAAATATGGTATTGTTTCTCTGGTGTGAGAAACTGATAGGGTAAATGAGGACCAAAATGTATAACAGACATTGTGAAATAGGAAGAAAATGTTCAAATGGAAGAGGAAACGACGGAGGGGATGGGGGGAAGCGGGGGAAGAAAGAAAAAACATCTTTTTCAGGAGCTAGGAATGGTAAGAGTGCCCTGGTTTCAATTCCCAGTACTGACAGGAAAAAATAATAATAATTATTTGGGACATTTTATGTTCATAATAAGAGCTAAAGAATTTAATTTCCTCTATTAATATGACACTGAAATATTACAGCCTAATATAAATGTATACTAGTATACACCATGTGAGTTCCATTATTGTCATTTTAAATAAATCAATTATCAACCTAACATTTTTTAAGTCCACAAAACTCTCACCATTCAAATCCAAGACAGAATGTTTAAAACAAAACAAAAAAGTGCAATTAAGACCTCAAATCCTTCAGCACTGTGCTTATCACAGTTATAAAATGGAGTGTGAATTTCTTTACACCTGTTATTCAGCAACTCCTTCCCAATGTTATACAGCTTCAGGTCCCTTCATTGAACCATGAACTTCAGAAGGTCACAGCATTTCAGCTTTAAGTGTTTTTATCTCCTTCTCTTCCAAAGCATACTACCTTTTTAGACCGTTGAGCCACCTGCGCAGGAAAAGGACTGTCTAGTCTCACATTTAAATCAATACTGTAGCAATCACTGTCAGTCCGCCAGATAGTAGCACTGATCAGTTTAAGGAAGCTGAGGATTCTTGGTGACAACGGAGCGTTTTCCTTTCCAACTCCTGTTTAAAGGAAGGGGAGTGAACCCCAAAACAACACTGGTGTAAACCGCACTGGAAAAACAGCAAAGCTCGGCTGGCCTCTCCCAGAGCAGCTCTTCCGACTCTGTCAACGAGTAGCCCCAGGCCGTGGGAAACAAAGGAGCCCTTAGGAGAGACTACAGTTGGTTTGGGGGCTCCTTCTTCACTACGGCGCTCAAAGAGTGGAAACCTAAGGCAGGATCAACAAGCGGTTGCAGGCCGGGGGCTAAGAACACTGAACCCAAAGTTTGCCAGGGTCCTGAGCTCACAGGAGCCCCGCAGGCGGCCGCACTAAGCATGCGCGGGCGGGGGCCTGGGGAGGAGCTGGGACTTTTGTGACGCAAGAGCGGGGAGGCCGAGGCAGGAGGCGGCTGGGCGAAGGCTGGGGAGCGCGGTGTGAGAACG